GTATGGTGCTTGGCACAGAGTAGGTACTCACTAAATGGTAGCTGTTACCACCAGAGCTGAGAAATCTGCCTCCATGTGGGCATGTGGAAATGTGGCCCTGGGTCAGGCGATGCAGGACAGACATGGGCCCTCCTGCTGGCCTGGGGTTTGCACAGTGCCAGGGCTTCTTCTACCCTAGTTCTGTCAGAGAGGGCTTATTGACAAAAGCCTCGTCTGTCCAATCCCAAAGCTGCCTGACAAGCCCCGAGAGGAACACACAGGAGCTGAAACTGAGTGACCATAGGGAGGGGCTCCCACCCAGTGAGCCAGTTAGTTGCTCAGGAATCATTTTTTCTGGCTCAGCTTCAGAGGAATTTCATTTCCTGGTGTCTTACCCATTGGGCCAGGACTCCCAGATAAGCTGCCTGTGGGACAGAGTGGGGCTGCTGCCTCAATTGGCACAGGGTGAAGGATTAATGCCAGGAAGCCAAGGAGACCCTGCAGGGACTCAGGGAAACCCAGTTGTGGGCTTCAGAGGAGGGGAGTATCAGGCTGGCTTTTGTTTCCTTGACATGTGGATCTTGGCCCTTTGCCTCACCCTGGGAACAGCTGGGTCAGCAGTGAGCAGTTCCGGCACACCTGCCCCCTGTGGTGCTATAGAGGCAACATGGTTTATGGCTAAAGGCTTTTGGATTCCCATCATGGCTCTGCCACTTTTCAATTGTGTGACCTTGGCTGTTTATTCCTCTTCTCTGAGCCTCGGTTTTCTCTTTTGTGAGAAAGTTCTGAGAATCAAATGAAATAACCTAGGACAGCAACTTATATACGATAGGTGCTCAGTAAATGTCCTTAGTCATGGGTAGGTGCAGCTGGGGAATGTGGAGAAACATAAAATGCAATCCCTCATCTTTAAGGAAGTTATAGTCTAGGTGGGGGAGAGGTAACAAGACAGGTAAACATATAAATCACAATGCCAGGACTGCAAATAATATACACAAGCCAACAAGCGTAATGGACAATGAGAGCTTTGGGGGGTCAGAGGTAGGATAGCTGCCCTGTGGGCTAAGCTGGTCAGGAAAGACTTTCCGAACAAGTGAACCTTGCAGGTGTGCAGAAGTTGGGGATGAAGGTGAGGGGCACCCCAGGAAAACATCTGAGATGAGGCCAAGTAGTTGGAGTTCAGGGGATGGAGAAGGGACTAATTGGAGTAGAACCAAGGGTTTGTGAGAGACTAGAGTGAGATGGGATTCAATCGGTAGATTGGAGCTAGGTGGTAAAGGGCTTTGAATGCCACGTTAAGGAGTTCGGAATTTATCTGAAGGTTTTTTTCGCAGGAAAATGACATCAATATCATGACCTTGATTCAGTGTATTCTTTTTTTTTTAAAATTTAGAGGATGTTTATTTATTAATATTATTATTATTATTTTTTAAACATTTTATTGATTTCTCACAGAGAGGAAGGGAGAGAGACAGAGAGCCAGAAACATCGATGAGAGAGAGACATCGATCAGCCGCCTCCTGCACATCTCCCACTGGGGATGTGCTCACAACCCAGGTACATGCCCTTGACCGGAATCGAACCTGGGACCTTTCAGTCCGCAAGCTGACACTCTATCCACTGAGCCAAACCGGTTTCAGCTATTTTTTGTT